CGCAATACCTCCACACAAATTCGGCGGTATAGGAATTGGAGTGTTGCTATTTCATGCTGCTGCTACACAATTTATCCACCTGTCTCGAGTACCAGGGCCGGGTTTCACTTTTCTTTCTTACGCTCGTATCACCAAAGCTGACCCCAGCCAGGCTATTCCATTGGGTTCTCGATGTTGGATTTAGTAACAATACATCAGCTGTGCCTTTCATAGCAAACGGAAGTCTGGGGTCAAGGATGTCAAGAATTGATTTATCGCCCGCAATGTCATCCAACAAGAAGTCTCCTCGACACGTCAGCGTCTTCAAATGCTGCTGCAAGTACGCCAAGTACCCAGCCCTTTGACTTTCCTCGCTCTCCGCGATTTTTGGAATCCACGAATAACCGGCGATGGAAGTATCGACTGGCTCCTTGACATCAGGAATATTTTCGGTCAAGCGCATCTTCTTGACAATTTGCTCTTCCATCGCAGTATTCAGATCAGAAAACGAATACGCAGACGCCTTCTCATCTCGTTCCCTGAGGACCTTATTCATTGACATCTCCACTTGCTCTAGAGTCAGTGGCGTTGTCGCTGCAGACATCTCTTTTGAGATAGTACCGTCTTGCTCCGGAACCACCACCAGCACGTTCACAGGACCCCTCCCTTCTACTTCTTCGTCTTCATCCACTCCAACGACATCCACATCCGACAACCCCACACGTCGTAGCCTTGCTCGTGCCGCTCCCAGCAGCTTCAGACCAGTCGTATCAATCACATCCTTTTTCACTTCTTCTTCAGTCAGCCACGGACCGCGACCCTCGTCCTTCTTTGCCAGGAAGAGCTGCAGCTTGTCTGCATCAACCTCTTTGAAGTCGTTGGCCTTCTTCGCCTTGATCGCTTCCTTCAAGTCATCCACAGTTTTGCCTTCGTCTACTTCCACGGAGAACGCGCTTCCCGCCACACCAACAATAGAACAGAAAAGCTTCACCATCTCTACACGAGCCGATGGATTCTGGAATGTGGAAAAAGGGAGGGGGAGAGAGAATTTCTTGAAAATGTATCACCCGTACCTAAGCGGGAAAGGAGGTGCCTATTTAGTGAGTCACTCAAAATACAAATTTCATGTTATTTCGACCTCATTTTGTAAGAGCATAACGCGAATTTGGTCGGAAATTCACAATTGCTTTTTTGCGCGCTTCGCGTGTGTTGCGCTTCTGCGCTGCATTCATGCACTCTTGGTATTGCTCATGTGAATTTACCTCCATCTTTGTTTATTATTAATTTTATATTTTTCAGGGTAGAAAAGTTAAAAAGCTGGTAGTCCTAGGCAAGCATTGGCACATACAACACAACGATAAAAGTTCATTCACGATAGTGACTCGTTAAGATCGAAACGACGAACTACGTATACATGTAAGAGTACATAGGCATCGACTGGACTAACTGTCGCGCGTAATCCATCCGCCTCGCCAAGAGAAACTCTGGTTCCACCACATCTGCCATCAACTCGTATCGTTCCATCATCTCCTCTGCACGAGCATCAACCGGCTGGGGCAAGAAGTCATCAACCTTGATTATCTTGAAAGATCCAGGCATGAATGACGGAGGAGGTGGGGCAGAATCCGTTCGTCCCAGTACGGCTGCTTCGATAAATCTGAACGCGTTCTTTGGATACTTCAACGTAACTTGGGTCAGAACGTGCTTGTCGCTGAACCAAGAGAAATGCCAGTGGTCGTTTAAATCCGTCAACAAACTCAGCGGATAGCAATTGAGAGGCGCCTTCATGCTGCAGCTCACAAGTTGACCAATTGCTTGAGGAACATGGCCCGGTTCGACTTTCTTCTTGAGCTCGATCACCAAGCTGACCCCAGCCAGCTTAATCAGTGGGTTCTTCGATGTTCGATTGATGAGCAATACATCAGCTGTGCCTTTCATAGCAAACGGAAGTCTTGGGTCCACGATGGTGGATGAATTGGACTCCGGCTATGCGTGCAGCGATGTTACAGCACTCGTTTATCACTAATTCGCAGATATCAGATTTACTACCATTGATAGCAATTTCCGAAGGCTATGGGGAAGCTCGTGAGCGCGGCGTCGACTGCAAGGCAGTCAGGTTGTGGGCGCAGCGTCGGCTGCCAAGGCGGAAAGCGCGTGAGCGCGACGTCAGTTGTCGCTGGTAGTAAAGATAGAGCTAACGGTCTCGGACTACCCCACTGGCCTCGTGTAGAAACGATGCCAGGGGAAGTTCCAGATTAAGGCCGATCGTGTGGATGAACTGGACCCTGGCTATGCGTGCAGCAATGTTACAGCACTCGTATAGCACTAATGCGCAGATATCCGATTTACTACCATTGATAGCGATTCCGAAGGCTATGGGGAAGCTCGTGAGTGCGGCGTCGACTGCAAGGCGGACAGCTCGTGGGCGCAGCGTCGGCTGCCAAGGCGGAAAGCGCGTGAGCGCGACGTCAGTTGTCGCTGGTAGTAAGGATAGAGCTAATGGTCTCGGACTACCCCATTGGCCTAGTGTAGAAACTATTCCAGGGGAAGTTCCAGATTAAGGCCGATCGTGTGGATGAACTGGACGCCGGCTATGCGTGCAGCGATGTTACAGCACTCGTTTATCACTAATTCGCAGATATCAGATTTACTACCATTGATAGCGATTTCCGAAGGCTATGGGGAAGCTCGTGAGTGCGGCGTCGACTGCAAGGCGGTCAGCTTGTGGGCGCAGCGTCGACTGCCAAGGCGGAAAGCGCGTGAGCGCGACGTCAGTTGTCGCTGGTAGTAAGGATAGAGCTAACGGTCTCAGACTTCTCCAGTGTCCTCGTGTAGAAACGATGCCAGG